CAATTTTCGCCACTAAATAAAAATAAAAGACATTTAATTTTGAACCGAAATTAATTTAAATACAGTCAACAAACACCAAACACACTTTTGACTGTAATTAATACGGCCCGAAATTAATTATATTCATTTACTTGTTTAGCGTCACCGCTTCTCTTGTATGAACCGTCATATCTAGATGCCCGAGACGTCGCAGCGAATTTTAGGCGGGCAGGGAGCAGGGAGTCGACCGAGCCCAGCAGCTGACGGGACCCAGTATCAGCAGCAGCATTTGTTCAAACAGTCCCTTTCAGGGCTAACTTCTGAAAGTCATTCGATCACCACTCTTCGAGGCTCCACTCACTTCACTCTCTGCTACTGCCTTCCCTCTGAGACGCCAACTCACTCCTGCAGCTTCCAGCTCACTCCTGCAGCTTCCAGCTCTCTCCTGCAGCTTCCCGCTCACCCCTGCAGCTTCCAGTAATCTCCGGTTCACTCCTGCAGCGCTTCACTGACGTCCAGCGACCAGTTCCAACCTCCGGATAACGTTCCCGAACAAACGACCTCTGTCCACCACTCACCAATAAAGACACGATCTCTATCGTCTACAACGGACCATTTGTCATCCTTCTTTGCTATTGCCATCTCCTTGCCTTTTGTGTCCCCTTTTTAGTTGTGCGGTCGATTGGCCCTCACACCTCTCGGCCTGCTGCAACAATATATTTTATGCTTTAATTTTATAAATAAACTTTTAAAAATCTCTAATGATTCATATGACATGTTTTTCAAACACATTTTTATTTCAACTTATTGTTTGCAAATATCTATTTTAAATAACTTATACCGTACAGTATAGTGTGTTTTTAAGTGAAATGCATATTTTTTTAACTTGTCAAGTCCGTGGAATAAAAATATTTTCTAGGTCACCATGTCGACAGGCCACATTCCTTTCTTTCACTCTCGTTCCGTACCACTTCCTCATATTTATGACTCTTTTTCTTCTAGCTAAAAATCCTTATAATTAAATCATTCTTTATTTTTTTCCCTTTAATATTAAAACTTTTTGTCTTTTCTCTCACTTCCCTTTTTTTCCCTTGTGTCTGAGTAAAGTGAACATATATTTTTTGAACTGAAGGCAAGGTTTATGGCAGCATTCAACAATTTTGAAAAGGAGACCGCCCAGAAAAGTTATAGGAGGTTGCGAATTCGTTTGTAGCCCGTGGTTGGAACCAATGGAGATTTCACTAGATTTACGCTTTAGTATTTCAAGATATTTTTGTGTAATTTTAGTAAATATATCTATTAAAATGAGATGTCGATGTTATTTTTATTTTGGCCTCATTTTGACGACAGTTTATCCCTCGCCCCCCGTATATCTGTTCAAATGAGATGTCAGTGTTATTTTCATTTCGTCCCCATTTAGAAGACAATTTATCCCTCGCCTCCTGTATATCTGTTCAAATGAGATGCCAGTGTTATTTTCATTTCGGCCTCATTTAGACGACAATTTATCCCTCGCCCCCTGTATATCTGTTCAAATGAGATGCCAGTGTTATTTTCATTTCGGCCTCATTTAGACGACAATTTATCCCTCGCCCCCTGTATATCTGTTCAAATGAGATGCCAGTGTTATTTTCATTTCGGCCTCATTTAGACGACAATTTATCCATTGCACCCTGTACATGCATGCGTGTAGGTGTGAGTGTGGTGGGGGTTGCCTTAAATATAATTTCATTGACCCGGAGGTTTATCAAATTCTATTAGCGATAAAAGGAATTTGATATTGGTAATAATTAATGCTTTGTCCAGAAGATAGACTCGACTTCGCGGCTCGAGACGCCATTCAACAAAGTTGTTAAAAGTCGAAAAGCCTATTTACACATTGATATGCTCCATTAAACAGAAATGTCTCACAAATAAATAAATGGAAAAGAGCAATGGAGATTCCAATCAGTTTTATTGCAAAATCAGCTTTTTTTATTGTCCGAGAAAAATCGAATTTTAGAGGAAAATTGAACATTATAAAGACTTTCAGATTTAGTTTAATTCATATCTCTCTCTCTCTCTCTCTCTCTCTCTCTCTCTCTCTATCTATCTATCTATCTATCTATCTATCTATCTCTATGTCTTTCATCGATCTCTCCGCCTACACATATATAGATATGAATGGCTGTATATATACATACAGCATATGACTGCCAATAAAATTATAAATGTTTCATTCTATATGAGTGAATATTTAATGTTATTCACCTTTTCTGATAGATATGAACATTCTGAGATAGATAGATAGATAGATAATTAGATAGATAGATAGATAGATAGAAAGATAGATAGATAGATAGATAGATAGATAGATAGATAGATAGATAGATAGATATGAACATTCTGAGATAGATATGAACTGAGATAGATAGATAGATAGATAGATAGATAGATAGATAGATAGATAGATAGATAGATATGAACATTCTGAGATAGATATGAACTGAGATCGATAGTTATGAACAGACTGAGATAGATAGATAGATAGATAGATAGATAGATAGATAGATAGATAGATAGATATGAAAACACTGAAACGCATAGACAGATAGATAGATAGATATCAACAGACTGAAATAGATAGAGATGCACACAATGAAACAGATAGATAGATAGGGAGTGATTAAAATAGATAGATAGATAGATAGATAGATATATATGAACTGACTGAAATAGATATGAACTGAGATAGATAGATAGATAGATAGATAGATAGATAGATAGATAGATAGATATGAACATTCTGAGATAGATATAAACTGAGATAGATAGATAGATAGATAGATAGATAGATAGATAGATAGATATCAACAGACCGAAATAGATAGAGATGCACACACTGAAACAGATACATAGATAGATAGATAGATAGATAGATAGATAGATAGATAGATAGATAGATACATAGATAGATGATATGATGAACACACTCTGAATAGATATAATAGATAGATAGATAGATAGATAGATAGATAGATAGATGAATAGATATCAACAGACCGAAATAGATAGAGATGCACACACTGAAACAGATAGATAGATAGATAGATAGATAGATAGATAGATAGATAGATAGAATGTATACGTATGTATTAAACTGACGCTAAACGGCAAGTGATTAAGAGAATCTAAAAGCAAGCAAATGTAAGCCAAATAGGTCAGATGACGATGATATTAGAAGAGAAAAAAAAAACTAAGGAAATTTCTTTAATGTTTATTTAGGCAAAGGGGGAAAAAAAGAAAGATGCACACAACAGGAAATATCCATTATTTTAGTTTTCGAACATTTTTCATGGATTTTTCCTTTCTTTTCTTTGCCTCGTAATTTAATTTACTCTCAGGCTTTATCGAAAAACTTATCTTTTACACTCATCTTCACGAACGCTTCCATTTTTCTTTCCGCTGGAAATAATTTTTGCATTCCTATGAAAATATTGGTCTGACTGAAGTTTGAAAAAAAATTATAAATAAATGTAAATAAATAAATAAAAATTTATTTTTCAGTGAGTTTTATAGACAAAAGTTTTGTAAAATAAAAACTGAATTTGGTTTTTGTTGTTTTTCCACTCAAATTGACTCTGGCTGCAAACTCTGCGAATTGGACATTTTTCATTTGATTTTTCCTTTTAGTTTTTGAAAATGTCTTATTTATTATATTTTCATTTTGTTTTCTATGTTTTTCTCCCATTTTTTTCTTTCTTTTTTCTTCATTTTTCATATTTTCTTTGTTCTTTTTTTTCTTCCTTTTTCGTATTTTCTTTTGTATTTCTTTTCGTTTATTCCTTTTTTCTTCCTTTTTCGTATTTTCTTTCTTTCCTTTTTCTTCCTTTTTCACTTTTTTTTTGTATTTCTTTTCTTCCTTTTTTCTATCTTCCTTTTTCGTATTTTCTTTCTTCCTTTTTTTTCTTCCTTTTCCTATTTTCTTTTGTATTTCTTTTCCTTTCTTCCTTTTTTTCTTTCTTTTTCGTATTTTCTTTCTTTCTTTTTTTCTTCCTTTTCCTATTTTCTTTTGTATTTCTTTTCCTTTCTTCCATTTTTTCTTTCTTTTTCGGATTTTCTTTCTTCCTTTTTTTTCTTCCTTTTCCTATTTTCTTTTGTATTTCTTTTCCTTTCTTCCTTTTTTTCTTTCTTTTTCGTATTTTCTTTCTTTCTTTTTTTTTCTTCCTTTTCCTACTTTCTTTTTGTATTTCTTTTCCTTTCTTCATTTTTTTCTTTCTTTTTTCGTATTTTCTTTCTTTCTTTTTTTCTTCCTTTTCCTATTTTTCTTTTGTATTTCTTTTCCTTTCTTCCTTTTTTTTTTCTTTTTCGTATTTTCTTTCTTTTTTTTTCTTCCTTTTCCTATTTTCTTTTTGTATTTCTTTTCCTTTCTTCCTTTTTTTTTTTCTTTTTTTTCGTATTTTCTTTCTTTCTTTTTTCTTCCTTTTCCTATTTTCTTTTGTATTTCTTTTTCCTTTCTTCCTTTTTTTCTTTCTTTTTTCGTATTTTCTTTCTTTCTTTTTTTTTTCTTCCTTTTCCTATTTTTTTTGTATTTCTTTTCCTTTCTTCCTTTTTTCTTTCTTTTTCGTATTTTCTTTCTTTTTTTTTCTTCCTTTTCCTATTTTCTTTTTGTATTTCTTTTCCTTTCTTCCTTTTTTTTTTCTTTTTTCGTATTTTCTTTCTTTCCTTTTTCTTCCTTTTTCACTTTTTTTTGTATTTCTTTTCTTCCTTTTTTTTCTTCCCTTTTTCGTATTTTCTTTTTCTTCCTTTTTTTTTTCCTTTTCCTATTTTCTTTTGTATTTCTTTTCCTTTCTTCCTTTTTTTTTTTTTTTTCGTATTTTCTTTCTTTCTTTTTTCTTCCTTTTCCTATTTTCTTTTGTATTTCTTTTCCTTTCTTCCTTTTTTTTTTTCTTTTTCGTATTTTTTCTTTCTTTCTTTTTTCTTCCTTTTCCTATTTTCTTTTTGTATTTCTTTTCCTTTCTTCCTTTTTTTTCTTTCTTTTCGTATTTTCTTTCTTTCTTTTTTTTTTCTTCCTTTTCCTATTTTCTTTTGTATTTCTTTTCCTTTCTTCCTTTTTTTTTCTTTCTTTTCGTATTTTCTTTCTTTCTTTTTTTCTTCCTTTTCCTATTTTTCTTTTGTATTTCTTTTCCTTTCTTCCTTTTTTTCTTTCTTTTTCGTATTTTCTTTCTTTCCTTTTCTTCCTTTTTCACTTTTTTTTTTTTTGTATTTCTTTTCTTCCTTTTTTCTTTCTTCCTTTTCGTATTTTTCTTTCTTCCTTTTTTTCTTCCTTTTCCTATTTTCTTTTGTATTTCTTTTCCTTTCTTTTTTTTTTTCTTTTTTTTTCATTTTTTTTCTTTCTTTTTTTTCTTCCTTTTCCTATTTTCTTTTGTATTTCTTTTCCTTTCTTCCGTTTTTCTTTCTTTTTCGTATTTTCTTTTCTTTCCTTTTCTTCCTTTTTCACTTTTTTTTGTATTTCTTTTCTTCCTTTTTTCTTTCTTCCTTTTTCGTATTTTCTTTCTTCCTTTTTTTTATTCCTTTTCCTATTTTCTTTTTGTATTTCTTTTCCTTTCTTCCTTTTTTCTTTCTTTTTCGTATTTTCTTTCTTTCTTTTTTCTTCCTTTTCCTATTTTCTTTTGTATTTCTTTTCCTTTCTTCCTTTTTTTCTTTCTTTTTCGTATTTTCTTTCTTTCTTTTTTTCTTCCTTTTCCTATTTTCTTTTGTATTTCTTTTCCTTTCTTCCTTTTTTTCTTTCTTTTTCGTATTTTCTTTCTTTCTTTTTTTTCTTCCTTTTCCTATTTTCTTTTGTATTTCTTTTCCTTTCTTCCTTTTTTTCTTTCTTTTTCGTATTTTCTTTCTTTCTTTTTTTTCTTCCTTTTCCTATTTTCTTTTGTATTTCTTTTCCTTTCTTCCTTTTTCTTCTTTTTTTCGTATTTTCTTTCTTTCCTTTTTCTTCCTTTTTCACTTTTTTTTTGTATTTCTTTTCTTCCTTTTTTCTTTCTTCCTTTTTCGTATTTTCTTTCTTCCTTTTTTTTCTTCCTTTTCCTATTTTCTTTTGTATTTCTTTTCCTTTCTTCCTTTTTTTCTTTCTTTTTCGTATTTTCTTTCTTTCTTTTTTTTTCCTTTTCCTATTTTCTTTTGTATTTCTTTTCCTTTCTTCCTTTTTTTTTTCTTTTTTTTATTTTCTTTCTTTCCTTTTTCTTCCTTTTTCACTTTTTTTTTTTTTGTATTTCTTTTCTTCCTTTTTTCTTTCTTCCTTTTCGTATTTTCTTTCTTCCTTTTTTTCTTCCTTTTCCTATTTTCTTTTGTATTTCTTTTACTTTCTTCCTTTTTTTCTTTCTTTTTTCGTATTTTCTTTCTTTCTTTTTTTTTCTTCCTTTTCCTATTTTCTTTTTGTATTTCTTTTCCTTTTTTCCTTTTTTTCTTTCTTTTTCGTATTTTCTTTCTTCCTTTTTTTCTTCCTTTTCCTATTTTCTTTTGTATTTCTTTTCCTTTCTTCCTTTTTTTCTTTCTTTTTCGTATTTTCTTTCTTTCTTTTTTTTCTTCCTTTTCCTATTTTCTTTTGTATTTCTTTTCCTTTCTTCCTTTTTTTCTTTCTTTTTCGTATTTTCTTTCTTTCCTTTTTCTTCCTTTTTCACTTTTTTTTTGTATTTCTTTTCTTCCTTTTTTCTTTCTTCCTTTTTCGTATTTTCTTTCTTCCTTTTTTTTCTTCCTTTTTCTATTTTCTTTTGTATTTCTTTTCCTTTCTTCCTTTTTTCCTTTCTTTTTCGTATTTTCTTTCTTTCTTTTTTTTCTTCCTTTTTCTATTTTCTTTTGTATTTCTTTTCCTTTCTTCCTTTTTTTCTTTCTTTTTCGTATTTTCTTTCTTCCTTTTTTTTGTTCCTTTTCCTATTTTCTTTTGTATTTCTTTTCCTTTCTTCCTTTTTTTTGTCATCCTTTATCGAATTTTCTTTCTGCCTTTTTTCTTCCTTTCTCGTATTTTCTTTTGTAGTTCTTATCTTCATTTTTTCCTTCTTTTTCGTATTTTCTTTCTTCCTTTTTTCTTCCTTTTTCCTATTTTCTTTCTACTTTACTTTTTTCCTTCTTTCTTCTTTCAGGTTTTTCTTCGTTTTTGCTTCATTCTTTTTTCCTTCTTTATTCTATTTATTTCCACACTTCCTTCTCTCTCTCTCTTTCTTTATTTCCTTCCTCTCTTTATCTATATCTTCTTTCTTTCTTTCTTTTTTTCTTTCTTCGTTCCTTCCTTCCATTTTCCTTCAATATTACCTTTCGGCCTTCCTTCCTTCCTTTCTTCATTTTTTTCCTTCATTCTTCCATCCTTCCATATTTCCTTTATTCCTTCCTTCCTTCATTGTTTTCTTTCTACTTTCTTTTCTTCCATGTATTTTTCTTCATTCTTTCATTATTTCTTTCCTTTTTTCATTCTTTATTTTTCCTATTCTTTCAAAACTTTCATTCATGTGCCATACAGTCAGGATGAAAAATATATATCGACGCAATAGATAAGCCCAACCTACCGATATGATGTCTTGCAATTCATATATTTTACGGCTGCCCATAATTGTTCCACATATTTTTACCTCTTTTCAAATGATTTCCATAACGTTAATAGCAAAAGGCAATGTTGTTGTCTTGGGATATTTTTATTATTAGCAGAAACAGTAATAAAAGAAATGTTAGTATTTTTTATTAAGTTCGTTGTTTGATCTACAAAAACAGCAAATTATTCGTTGTTTGTAGTAACCAAATTACAATCTAATGGGCTCAAGTGGCAACCTTTTCATTATGATTCGTGAACTCATCGGAGTATACGAGCCATCTCAAAGAGTAAAGCTTCCTTTCATTGTCCAATCTTGACAATGAGCCAGAATATTTCCTAGTCACTTGGGGAGTATTTATGGTGGCTGACGCAACAACGACAATGAGAATGGCTTCCATATTCATCATTGACCACAATTTGTACACATCATTCTTGTTGCTACTGCTGTTGCTGTTGTTCTTCTTCGTCGTCATCCTCGTCGTCGTCGTTAACGTCATTTTATTATTATTATTATTATTATTATTATTATTATTATTATTATTATTTTCTTTGATTTCTGGCGTTTACACATTTCTTTCCGAGTCCCGCCCAGGGACCTAAGGTTAGAAATGGCATCATGACACTTTCTAAAAAAAAAATATATATATATATATTCCATAGATAAAGCCCATCGTAAAGTGTGGGCTGTACTTGTGAGAACAATTTTTTGTATTTCTTTAAGGCATGGACTTCCAGGAATCCCTTCAATTAGTCTACTGGAATCTTTTCCAACCCATCCGTGGGATCCAACTACAACAGGGATTGTTGATGTTCCCATATGCCACATTTTTGAGATTTCTATTTCAAGGTCCTTGTATTTTGACAGCTTTTTTAATATCTTCAAAGATACATTGCAGTCAGCAGGGGCTGCCATATCAATAAGGAGGTACTTTTTTTGTTTGTGGTCTTTAATAACAATATCTGGGCGGTTGGCTTTGATTGTTCTGTCAGTGTGTATTGTGTAGTCCCATAGAATTTTAACAGGTCCTATCTCCGTAACCGGATCTGGATGGTGTTCATACCATTTATTATTATTATTATTATTATTATTATTTCATTTCTTTCCGGGTCCCGACCATAGATCTAAGGTTAGAGATGGTGCACTGACATTTTCCACTGAGCAATTGAGAGAGAGAAAAAATAATACAATACATATTTTACATCGATAAAGCCCTTTGTAAGGCGTGGGCTCTTCTCGTAAGAACAAGCCTTATAATTTCTACAGAAATTGTTGCAGGTATTGTTGATATCCTCTTGTGTATTATTATTATTATTCATATATATGTATATAATTATTATTATTCATATATATATATATATATATATATATATATATATATAAAAGTCAACATAGAAGTCAACACTTAGAGTCGACAGTTTGCTTTATGCTAGATGCAATCGTCAGGCCACCTACATCTAGCATTAACAGACTGTCGCCTATATGTGTTGACTTCTATGTTCACTTTTATATTTACACACGCTTTATCTCTGATATTGACCACTTTATCCCATAAATATAGCACATCTTAAGACTATATATATATATATATATATATATATAGCATAATGAGAAGACACGTATACTTTCTTAATATGTATATATAGAAAAACAACTAAAAAGTTGCAAATTAAAAAAAATAATAATGTTTTTTATGAAAGAATCATATATATATATATATATATCACTTGACGTCTGCATCTCGCGACGGACGCTACTTGTAAACAAAGCTCTGAAAACAGTTATTTCTGAAGAAAGATCAATATCGATCTGAAATATCAAATATAAATAAATACTTTCATAAAAAAAAAACATTATTATTTTTCTTAATTTGCAACTTTTTTAGTTGTTTATATATATATATATATATATATATATATATATATATATATATATATATATATATATACACATGCATAACTGAAAAAAAAAACCGCAAATATTGCTGTATGTAAGTGTACAAAATGTTCTTGGTGAAAAGTGAAATCGATTCAATCATTTGGGAGACGAAAGTTGCAAGAACCAATTGGAAAAGAACAGTCTTCCATTTCCTGAACTCTCATAGACTACAAATTTGAGGCTCCGGACTTGTTTTCAGATTGAACATACGACTCATTTCACACAGCTATGATTTCTCAACGGCTATATATATATATATATATATATATATATATATATATATATATATATATATATATATATATATATATATATATATATATATAAAGCTGGGATATCAACTCAAAGTAGTGTAACAATTAAAATTATGTTAAATTAATATATATATATATATATATATATATATATATACAGATACAGACACACACACACTTAAAAAAAAAAAAATATATATATATATATATATATATATATATATATATATATATATATATATATATATAGAATACCAATAAAGACATTATACAGTGATAAAAAAAAACAAAGCATTGAAGCAGGTGGCTTGAAGCTCGGAGAGTATCGGTAATTAATTAAGAAAGAAGCACCAATGTATTTTTTGTAGAAAACAGAAGAAAGATTAGGAGCAAAATTCTTAAGAGTATTGCAGGGATACAATCAAGGCTACTTGCTTTCTATGGATCCGGTTGAGAGATGATAACTAAAATCAAGGACGGTGTTATATGCATATCGGTATATACAGACTCAGTTCAAAGTGGAAATTCAGGCAGAGTTATTACAAATGAGTTAACAGTATTTGAAGAGAATTTACGAGCAAAATATTAGCTTTGTCAGCAGAAGTTTTTGAAACCTGAAACTGAGTGAAGGGAGGAGGGATAGAAGATATATTCTTATTTAACTTTCTATTACAGAGCCGCCGATAGACATGAGAACAAAACAGGCCAGAGGCTATATGGTACCTCGTTCGGTGAGCTGAGGAAGCCTACATGAGGACACGTTTACAATGATGACGAGCCGGCAGAAAGAAGTGTCTATCGTGAAGGGAACTGTCACATTCGCACACCCAGAGAAAGCGATTCCTGCTAGTTACACCGAATAAAAAGACGGTGTGAACAATGGAGAAGATTGTGGTTTCACCTGGTAAAAAAATGGCAAAAATCTGAACAATGGGATAATATATATATATATATATATATATATATATATATATATGTGTGTGTGTGTGTGTGTGTGTGTGTGTGTGTGTGTGTGTGTGTGTGTGTGTGCAGATATGTAGAAAAATAGGAAAGAACACGTTAGGTAAAAATCTGGGGTTCTTTAATATTTATGTTTTTATTTTAAAAAAAAACAGTGCTCCATACAGAAGTAGAGCTTAGATTATAATTATTTATTCAAAAAATATGATTCTTTCGCTACATAAGAGTTCATAACCAATCTTGGAATTTACGCATCTTTATAAGAATGTTCATTCGCAAAATTAATCACTATGGAAACGGCTGGGGTGACCATTTAGATAAATTTCAAGCTTTGTTATTCCTAAATTTTTGCTTGAGGATGAAACAGGACTTGATACTTTAACTCAATTTAATTTTAATAATTATACTGAATTTTTCGGCTCGCGTTTTTGAAACATGGGAACTCTTATGTAGCGAAGGAATCATATTTTTTTCAAAATAATTATATATATATATAAATGTTACAGTGTGCAACTTATTTTTATATCATAAAGAAACAATTTATATAAAGAGTTAAATAGCAATGTTAATGTGATTAATGGCGAAATCACTTCGCTAACAGGATTCATAGAGACATTAAGTTACTATCAGTTCCTTGAATAATAAATTCGTTATATTGGATTATACTAAGTCTGTTTCATCTTAAAAAGATAAATATATATATAACAAGAAAATTTCGTGGATTTATAACTTTTCAAAATTCAAAAAAAGGTCTCACTTAATAGATTTGATATCGCACTCTCCAAAACATAAATTCAAATGTCAATAAATAGCACAATTTAATAAACTTCTTTCGCTCTACATATATTCGATCTTAGTTTTTGCCTACATATAAGAAAATTGCGCCTTGAAGATGACAATTTGAAATTGTCGAAAGTACTTAGCACGTGTCTTCCATTTGGAAACCACTAGAATAAAAGGATTTTATTATTCAAGGAATTGATAGTAAGTTAATGTCTCATTAAATCATGTTAGCGAAATGATTTCGCTATTAGTCTCATTAAGATTACTAATTAATTCTTAGTATAAATTGTTTCTTTATGATATAAAATATAAGCTGTAAGCTCTAATATATATATATATATATATATATATATATATATATATATATATATATATATTTTTAACTTAAAAGCTCGAGACACAAAGCCCATGGCGAACCATATATAAGTCAGGTTTTTTGTCGTTTATTATTTTAAATATCTAAATATATACAGTGGGCTATGATCATTTTTAAGCACCCTTGATTACAGCAATTTTGGCTTCTTTAATAACGCCCTTTGTGTGTGTGTGTTTATATTAAATATTTTGTGGGGTGAATAATTCTGCTGTTACACGCTTTGGACAATTTTGCTGTTACACCCGCTATGTGTAGTAAGTGGATATTAGTCTTTGTATGACGAGATTATGGTTTAAATTCAACCTGTTCAGTCTTTTTATGTATCTGGCTTTGAGCCAATCTCTTTACTGTTCAATGGTTCCGTTCGAAAACTCTAGTTGTCACCACCGCAGCACAACTAACACCTACCCTTTGTATTAATGTAATTTTTGTTGTATTTTATTTTTTTCTTTCTTTCAAGACAATACCTGTCATGGTTAAAAAAAAAAGTATTAGTAAGAAAAGAAAAGTAATGTTTAGATACATCAGGCGATGCTTTACATGATGGACACTTCAATTAACCGAAGTTCATCACAAACTTATTATTAATCTTCGATCACTTCAATAAGCGGCACGTCAAAGCGCCGATGTCTTCTGACACGGGGCTGATTTTTACCT